TGATAATAATACAATTATATTATTTATTATAATCAGAAAAACTTTAAGTCAATTTTTGTTGTAAGATGAACTACCTTTCTCGTGTGATAATAATACACGAATACATTTTCTAAAAAGTAAAATTTATTTCATAACAAAAAAAGAAAGTGCATGAAAAGGCAATTTGTTTCATTTTATTTATTTATTTATTTACTTACTTTTGCTTATTATTTATTTATTAATAAATAAAATTTAAATTAATTATTTAAATTATATATCCACTTGCGTTTTTTTTAAATTTAAATTTTCAATGATAATAATAATTATACATATACAAATAAAATAAAAAATTATTCAAGTGGATTCATTGAAAATAACATATAATAAAAAACATAAAATTTTATTATTATTATTATTAATAAATCTTGCATCCACGATACTTTGTAGCTTTCAAATTATTATTAAAAAAAAAATTCGTTTATTTTAGTGAACTTTTAGTATTATTTTAGTTTTTTTTTTTTGTAGTTTTTAACTCTTTAGCTATTATTAATATATCTTTAATATAAAAATAATAAAAACTAAAAAACTAAAAAAAAAAAAAAAATGTTAATTAAAGCTTTTTATTTATTTATTTATTTATTATTTGAAAACAAATTTTTAGTAGCTTTAATTTTATTATTATTATTATTTATTTATTTTTTTTTTTTAATAGATTCTTTTTTAGTAGCTACTTTAAGGTTTAAAATAATTATTATTTTATTTATTATTATGATTTTATTTTTATTTTCATTCACCTTAATTAATTATTATTATTATTTTTATTATATATTTATTCAAAATGTTTTTTTTTTGTTTTGTGTTGGTTGATTCAGGTGCGTACACGAATACATGGATGTGTATTCAGAAGTTCAAAAACCTGATGCGACAGAGCTAATAAATTCGCCTTTTGGGGGGAGGTATTGTGGACCCATACCCCCCAGAAGACGTATATCTTTATTTCGTATTATCGTTCTTGGATTTTACACTGATAAAAATAATACGACTCCTGATCTTTTCACCGGAAAATACACTTTCATCAACGACTGTAAGTTTAAAATTTTTAAATCGTAACGATTTTCATTATTACTATTATTATTATTTTCTTTTCTTTTTTTTTTCAGCCGAATATGAAATTGGGGCGCCAATAAAAAACTCACCTTGTAGTTTCATTATTCAAGCAACAAAAAAACGTACAGGAGTTTTATTATCTCCTACGTATCCCGGATCATATCCCAAAGATCTTTTTTGTAGTTATCAGTTCCTAGGTCAACCCAATCAAAGAGTCAGAGTCGAATTCAGGGATTTTGATTTGTTTTTTGGTGGACCGCAGTAAGTAATAAAATCCTCTCCTTATATTTTAATTATGTTGTAACAATTTATTATTATTATTATGTGTGTTTAAAAAAATTATGTTATTTTTCAGTTGTCCGTTTGATTACGTCAAAGTTTACGATGGTCTTGATAACACTTCAGCTGTTATTGGTACTTATTGCGGTCAACAAAGAAATTTGGTTCTTTATTCTTCGGATAATTACA